GAGCTGCTTGGTCCCCACTGACACACCCGGCTGTAGGTTGGAGCCCGGTAACCCATGCGTTAGTAAGCTGCCACTCTATGACACTACACAGAGAGTAGGCCAAGCAACTGGAGTAGGTGAGATGAATGTAGTAAAGCAATGCTGATAAATATTTCATAACTCAATGAACAAGCAAGCACACAGGGTTACAGATGCTGTACTAGATTGGCAATGCCCGATAGGCCGCCCTATAACCGTAACAATGTTATACCAAATTATAATGGACACAAACAGGGTTACAGTATTGGCATCAATGACACCAAGAAAACAAATGTCCTCATGTGTACTCCATGCATACAGCCCCAATAGTGGCCGGACATATGTGCTCCTGACAAAGTTGTACCCCTGGAGGTGGCTATGAAGTATTGGTGCCTAATTGCCAGTTTTGGCTAGCTTTAGTTGGGGCCCTTCTGAAGGTGGTGCACATGTAGCTGTCCCTTTTAGAGTGTGCAGTAGACGGCTAGTGGGTTGCTGAATAAAGAGCTGTCTATATTGCCCTAACTATGTCAATGTTGGGATAAACACGGATGGTCAGCTCACCCCTCCTGGCACACAGAAATCCAGTCCAGATCACTTGGCAGTCTGCAGTTCTATGAAGTCAGGTCCCAGAAGCTCAGCTCTGGTGTAGGCCCTCACACCAGCAGCAGATCTCTACAGCCTTGGGTTCTGTCATGGCAGGAGACCTCACAGCCTCTCAGTACTTTGAACCTTGGGTGGGCACAGACACCCCAGCGATGGGTCTGCACTTCTCCAGGTCCCCGTACACAGAAGCTCACAGTGGCTCAGGCTCTTGGCACTGTGGTGTGGGGGTGTATATAGAGAATGTGTCAATGGAATGGAAGGATTTTTGAGGCACAACTCACACAAAATATATTATATTACCATTTCATATACTTTATTCCAGAAGAATCATGAAGTTATAAATTCATTGAGAACAAAGCTTTCAGATAACCTCCATTTGTCATCATTATTTGTACATAATGTATCCATTTCCAGAACGTATGGTCATCTCCACCCCCACACATTCATTTCTACAAACTCCTCCCATTTGTATTCTATGACTGAACTCGACACGTTTCCTGGATTGGGATCCACTTCTTCAGGGAGAAGAATAATGGAGGATTGTTTAAGAATCAACACAACAAAATGTTCCAAAAATGAAGAAAACACAGAAATGTATAGATTGCTACATTTGTATACAACAATGTCAGAGTGCCCATGCTGTGGCTGCAGATACCTGGAAACCACCAGGGGAGGCGCTACACCATGATAGGAAATTCTATTGGGGGGACCAACACGGGGCCGAGGCTAGCCCCGCCCTCTAAGATGATCCTTCTCTTCCATAGAAATGTTGGAAGGAGCCCCCTTCCATAGCTATCTTGTGTAACACGGCAAGTACTAGAAAGAGGAGAATTCTAAGATGAAAGCAGAGATAGATTCAGAACATCCATGTCCTCCATCTCTAAAGACCATTTCCAATATCTCATAGAATCCAACATCGTTTCTTCACGATCCCCCCCACACCAATTCTCACATTCCCCCTACATGTACCAATCACCATTGTTTTACTAGAAAAAGACTTAGAACCCCTAAACATTATATATATATTAAGAAGAGACCCGAGAGAATAAAATGGTGGGTGATGCAATTTTGTGTCACATGGTATTTACGCTGCGATTTATCAAACACAATCTTTTGGTAAATAATACACTTTAATGAATTTTAATGGAAAAAAAACACAATATATAACCTGGAACTTAATTATCTCCATAAGTGAGGATTTAAACATTTTTAGGGGTTACCAGTTTGGAGTTACAGAGGAGGTCTGGAGCCGCCATCATTGCTCTTGTTGTAACGTTTGTGGTGATACCTCACATGTGTGGTGGGAACACCGTTTACATATGTGGAAGTTACCTACATATACATGTGAGCACGGGGGATGGGGACACGCTAAAAAAAGTATTTTTTTCATATTTTTACAATGTCCCTTTATGTATTTATTTATTTTTATCACTTTATTGCTGTCATAAGAAATGTAAACATCCTCTACCCTGGAAAGGAGGAGATAAACAAACATCGATCTCTGCATTCCACGAAAAAATGTCAGTGTTCACATCTGCCGGAACCTGAAGTGACGTCCGGCCTCCCAGGACCATAGAGATGGCCAAGGACCATCCAGCCCACAGCCAGCTCTATGGTAATCATGCAGTACCTCCGGTTTAGGTACTGGGCTCCCTGATCACACAGGAGATGGTTGAGAGACCCCAGTGGGTGGGGGGAGGGGGGGGTTCCCCTCCAGCTGCCTATAAAAGCAGTCCAGCAGCTAATCAGCAACTAGGATGGCTTTTCCATGACAAGGAATGTCCAGCCTGGAGCTGCAGTCATCATCCCAGTACGTCCTACAGGTAGGAAGGGGCTAAAGTCTAAACCATCAATGAGGTGGATAGTGCACGGTACTGCAGAGTGTGAGAGCCGGAGCAACCAATCAGAGGGGGGAGTGCAGGCAGCACTGTGATGTCTATTACTGATCAGCATGTTCCCCGCTCTCACCCTCTTCATCTTCCCGTCTATTCTACATATTAGCAGCCTGATGTATGACGGCTCTCTGTAGAATATCATCTTCTCTGGTGGGGAAGATGAGGAGGGTGAGAGCGGAGAACACGCTGCACAGCAACATCCATCTCAGTGCTGCTTCCACTGACACCGACACCCACACTGCTCCAATTCTAGGAAGGAGATGTTCTATTACAGTCCATGCCAAGACAAAGACTTGATTTCTAGTTGTGGATGGTGTGGGGAAGGAGGAGAACCCCGGCTGGCTTTTCCTACTATAGGGGGCTCTGGGACAAGGAGTGAGGGCCAATCTGTACCAGGGACACAGACATAGAAAGATCTGACAGGGGCCCCAAACCTTCCCCTTCTTTACTCCACTAAACATAGGATTCTTATTTCACTCTGTGTTTCTGTTGGAGAGTTCCCCTCATTTCCTGTCTAGGAAAATGTTGTCACCGGGACAGGAAGTGAGGAGAACTCTTTCTAACGGAGCCCCAGATAGGAAACACCTGACCGGGGATCTAATCCTGACCCACTCTGCCTACAAACTAAGTCTTCAGTCCCACTGGATCCCACTTTGTAATCTGGAAATGTCACGTGAAGTAATTTGATCTCAAAGTCGGATGTCAGTGCGACTTCAGGTGCGACTTGCAGGACATCTGTGTGACTTTATATACAAGTCTATGCAAGTCGCAGCTGAACTTGGAAAAAGTAGTGCAGGAAGAACTTTCATAATCGGTGCGACTCGGATGGAGGGGGATTTGTACCGGTATGACCGCTTCCATTGTGGACAATAGAGTGCGACTTGTCATGTGATGAGAAACTATCAACTCACATGACGAGTCGCACCGCTGTGACCGGGGACTAAGAAACACAGTCTGGGCTCTCTGGTACATCAGATTATTTCTTTCAGTAGTAAATCTGTAGAAGACGTCTTCATATATTTCCTCTCAGATTGTTACATTATTTCCATCTCTTTGTAGTATACATTGTATGGAGGGGGAGGGGGAGGGGCAGGAAAGAGAGGGAGGAGCTGAGAGAAGGGGGGGGGGCCGAGAGAGGGGGAGGGGCAGAGAGGAGGGGGGAGGGGGGCAGAGAGAAGAGGGAGGGGAAGAGTGGAGAGGGAGGGGTGACCTCATCCTATCCCATCACAGTGACCGCACCCCACCCTCTATGTCTGATCATGTGCCACCCCACACAGAGGAACCACATGGGGGGGGAGGGGCAGGGGGAAGGGGAGGGGCAGAGAAGAGGGGGAGGGAAAGGGAGGAGAGGTGACCCCATCCTATCCCATTCTAGTGACTGCACCCCACCCTCTATGTCTGATCATGGTGCAACCCCATATAGAGCGACCACATGGGGGAGGGGCAGTGAGGAGGAGGAGCAGAGAGGAGAGGTGATCCCCATCCTATCCCATCACAGTGACCACACCCCACCCTCTATGTCTGATCATGGTGACACCCCACACAGAGGGATCACACATGGAGGGAGGGACAGGGAGGGGGGAGGGGCAGGAAGAGATGGCTGGTGTCACACTGTGATAACTCTGCTTAAAAATTACAAAGTATTATGTCAGATTGTCGATAGATGGATGGATGGATGGATGGATGGATCGATCGCATCATCATCATCATCACTGACCATTAGGACCAATGTTATTGTGACTCCAATAATTGGACAGAAATTCTACCCAATCACAGAGATCGGTGACAGAGGAGAAATCTCACATTTATTTATAGTACAAAATCTTGCAGGAAGCCCCGCCCACCTCTATATACTATTGGATGAATATGAAATGAACTCCAATTTTTTGTCTGACATCACCAGGCTGTGGGCGGAGTTCTCACATCTCCCCCCTCCCCCCACATATCTTTATACAACCTCCCCCTACATGTACCCCAGCATGGAGGGGCTCAGTGAAGGTGGTGGTGAAGGTGTGGAGGTGTTGGATCGGGTCACACAGATCATAGAAGGAGATCCGCCCGGCCTCATAATCCAGATCTATCCTGACTCTGTTACTGGAGGGATTGGGGGGTAATGGGATCCGATGTCTGTCATGTATCACTGAATACTGATCACCTTCCCTGTCCAACCCCCAGGACTTGGTATTATATCCAATCACTGACTCCTCCCCCCCTCTCTCTCCTGACTATACTGGGGTAACACATCCCGACTGTCCAGCTCTCTGACCCCCCGACATCCACATCCCAGTAATGTCTCCCTGAGGAGAACCTCTGACTGCTCATCATCTGAGGACAATACAGGAATCTCTCTGGTGTTTTGGGGCGATTCTGGTTTCTCTCTGACCTGGACACAGTTTTCCCGCCATCTGATATCTGTAGATCATTACCAGCTGTGTTTCCATCCAGTAATATGTCTGCAGCCCCCTGTATATAGAAGGATACATTTCCCCCTGTTATTATATCAGATAAACCTGTGTGTAAGACCCCCGCCACATCCAGCCCCCCTCCATCATGGAGGAGTTCCTCATGTCTCTCTCTGTCCTCATCATCTCCATCCTCAGTATCACACAAGTCACCTGTGTCTGATTCCTGTAGGACAGTCAGTGGATCCATCATGTTACACAGCTCCTCAATGTCCTCATCTTCCTGGACAGCTCCTCCTTCTTTATTTCCAGATCCCGGATGAAGATGGAGACCCGCTCTGCCCTCCCGGAGATGTCCCTCAGGACTCTCTTCTCCAGGTCTTCCAGACGTCTCCTGAGGTCTATAAACAGGGCAGTGACTCTCTCGGTGTCACCAGCTTCTTCTTCTTCTACTTTCCTCCTGTGTTCCTGCAGACTCTGGACTCTTTCCTCCATCTCCTCTCTCTTTGTCAGAAGTTTCTGCAGAACATTCCTCAGTGTCTCCTTCTTCTTCTCAGAAGCCCCATCCAGTGACATCATCTCATGTCCTTTATGTCCTCCAATCATACAACAAGACACACAGATACAGGTCTCATCCTCAGTGCAGTAATACTCCAGGATCTTCTTCTTATGGACGGAGCATTTCCTGCTCTCCATGGACAAGGTGGGGTCAGATAAGATGTGTTCTGGGGACTTTTTGTGGACTTTCAGGTGTTTATCACACAGAGAAACCTCACAGAGTAGACAGGATCTAACAGCAGGTACAGGAGAGTCCACACAGTAAGTACAGAAGACCCCGGAGTCCTCCTGACCTGGCTGAGCAGACAGGAAATTCTCTGCTATGTTACGTAGTTTCATGTTCTTCTGCAGTGGAGGACGACCCGGAAACTTCTGTCTGCATTCAGGACAGGAATATCCTCCAGACCCCTCCTGTGTATCCAGCACACGACCAATACAGACCCGGCAGAAGTTGTGTCCACATCTCAGGGTCACAGGATCGGTATAAATGTCCAGACAGACGGAACATTCCAGCTCAGCTCTCAGAGCAGAAGACGCCATCGCTGACCACAGAAGAGAAACTAAACTGAAAGTCTCTGACAATGGAGAGGAATGCAGTGGGGGGGTGACACCCTCCTACACAGGGGTGAGGCTGGGCTGGGTGAGTATTATAGGACACGGAGATCAGAGTACAGAAGGAAGAAGCTTTTATTTGCAGTAGTCATGGTAATCGCACCTCCCAACATTGCAGGACAGAGAACGAGGGAAAGACGGATGTGGGGAGACGTGAGGAGCACTAAGTGCATTGAGATGGGAAGTGGAGGTGACTACATGATGCTGAAAAGGGATTCGGTTCTATAGAGTCTGAGCTCACACTATACACTGCGTATACTGCAGCCTGTGTACCCCCAAAACATGTCTTCATTATTGCACCCCAACATGCAGAGAGTAATGGGGGTAGTCACCTCGTCTAGGCAGGTTCAGTCTGTACTGAGCCCCCCTTCAGTCTGAGGATGAGATATGTGGTTCCACTGGTGTAATATTACTATAGGGAAATGCCTTGTGGGTAAACAGCACCCCTTCAGTCTGAGAATGGGATATGTGGTTTCATTGGTGTAATATTACTATAGGGAAATGCCTTGTGGGTAAACAGCGCCCCTAAATTAGTGCACTGCTGAATAGCAAACAATGTCCAGGTCATGAAGGGGGTGGTTAGGGAATGCCCTCCAAACACTCCAGCACTATGATATGGAGATTTATCACATGAAGTAAATGAGTAGTCCTTGTGGCACTGAGGATCCTATATTCCCATAATACCCGGAGATGCTGGAAAATCCTGGTTCTTGAACACAATGACTGAGAGGGCTCCCCACCCCCACCAGGGTCTGATGGCAGACAAGGTGCCCTGTCACTGGGGTTTGGCATGAGGCTGGAAAGGAACAGAACAGCACAGGGGCAGGTTGGGCAGGAACAGCTGTCATGGAGACATATTAGACTGGTACATCTGGCAGAGACAGGCTCACTTAGAACTGCTGGCACAGAGGCAGGATTGATTGGGACTGGTGGTGCAGAAGCTGGTTAGACAGGAACTACTGGTGCACAGTCTCTACTGGAACTGCTAGCATGGAGGTTGAATTGACTGGAACTGCTGGCGCAGACACAGGCTCACTTGGAACTGCTGGCACAGAGACAAGTTCACTTGGAACTGCTGGCATAGAAACAGGCTCACTTGGAACTGCTGGCACAGAGACAGGCTCACTTGGAACTGCTGGCGCAGAGACAGTGTCAGGAAAGGCCTGCCCATAGTACAGGTAAAGTTCCACGGCGCACAAATATGTGCAGGGTCCTGGCAAGCTGAGCAGATGTGCAGGCACTTGGGCAGAGGCGCATGCAGTTGTGCTCACATTGGAAGAGGACCCTCTCCCCTGGATGAAATATGTCATCACCTGGCAGCGCTCACTCAAGCAGTTAAGACTCTACAGGATGGATATGCGCACCTGAACCCCGTGTACCTACTCCTGAGCGGTTTAATGGAGACCGAAGCAAGTTTAGAGCGTTCCGCAACGCATGTCAACTTTACTTCAATCTCCAGCCAAGAACCTTCTCTACAGAGACTGTCAAGGTGGGGGTTCATTATTTCCCTGCTTCAAGGTGAACCACAAACGTGGGCATCACCCACATTTAAACACTATGACCACTCTCTTTGACGCAATGGCTCAACTATATGATGACCCACAACAAACCACTACCACTGAAGCAGCATTACATGCGCTCCAACAAGGTCACCGAGCGGCGGCCGAGGACTACGTCACGGACTTTAGACGTTGGAGTGGGGATACCAATTGGAAAGATGCTGCCCTGCGTCACCAGTTCCACTTGGGTCTGGCTGAGCCCCTCAAAGACGAACTTGCTTAAGTTGGCATACCAGACTCTCTGGAGGATTTGATCACGCTAGCCATTCAGATCGATCGTCGCCTATGTTAACGCAGCTTAGAAAGGTCCAACCAAATTCCTAGGCCTACATGGATGCTACTTAAGATTCCAGCCTAATCCTCCTGTTGGAAACTTTGATCCTGAGACATCAGACACACCCGAACCCATGCAACTTGGGCTGATTCGTCCATCACTAACTCCGGAAGAATGCCAGCGCTACCGAGTCAATAACCTCTGCCTATACTGTGGAGAAACTGGCCATTATGTGCGTTCCTGTCCAGCTAAGCTTCATAAACGCATCTCCATCTCTTCTGATGTTCCTCCACCATGTTCTACCAGCACAACTCACATGGCTGTACCTATTTCCTTTTAGCTCCCTGGAAGAACCGTGTCGGTAACCGCGATTATTGATTCTGGAGCTTGTAGCTGCTTCATTGACCTATCCTTTGCAGCCCAACAACACATCCCTTTACAGCTGAAGGAACAAGGGCTGAACATATTTCTTGCTGATGGGTCTCGTATCAAGTCTGGATTAGTAAACAAAGAGACCCCACCACTCAAATCAACTGGAAGACCGGCAGGATTCAGTTTTCTTCTCCATACTGCCAAGAACACTGCTTACCCATGGCACCTTCACCCATACCTACATTACTTTGCATGGACTCTGATGCTGAGCTTGCCCAAATAGTTCCACCAGTCTATCATGGCATGGCTATTTGGATGTCTTTAGTAAACGAGGAGCAGATACCCTTCCTCCTCATCGATCTTATGACTGTCCGATTGATCTACTCCCAGAATCTGAAATCTCCTGTGGGCACATCTTTCCCCTGTTGGGGAAATGGGAATTAGGAGTTTTTTAAAGGAGTATATTGATGAAAACCTTCAAAAAGGATTCATTCGTCCCTCCACATCCTCGGCAGGAGCCGGAATATTCTTTGTAGAAAAGAAGGACCAATCCTTACGGCCTTGTGTGGACTACCGTGAACTAAATAAAATTACGGTGAAAAACCGTTACCCCCTTCCTTTGGTTCCCAAACTTTTTCAAAGACTCAAGACTGCAACCATTTTTACGAAGTTAGACTTAAGAGGAGCATATAACTTGGTTCGTATCCGAGAAGGGGATGAATGGAAAACGGTTTTTCGCACCCAATTTGACCAATTTGAATATTTAGTTATGCCATTTGGATTGTGCAATGCACCTGCTACCTTCCAGATTTCCGTAACCTCCCTGGCGGTATTCCCGAGTGTAGCTCGGGGTAAAGTTTCAGTACCACAAGCGGTAACCCCCCCGAGCTACACTCGGGCTTACCATGCGGCGCTGCTCCGGGATCCCTCGATCACTTACCTTGTCTTGTGTGACAAACTGTCCCTCTGTGATAACATTTTGCCCTTTCTGTTCTGGTTTTCTCCTGTTTGTAAAGCTGGACATGTTTCACAGACATTCTACACTGTTTGTTTAGGGAGATGTGACCTTGTAGTCTTTCACTTCTAATAGAGTTCATACTATATTGTTGTGTTGTAGAGTTTAGTTGTGGGTGGGGAAAACCCAGTGCCAGGCTGTCTGGTGGGGGTGGGAGTGAACCTGTATATACTGAGCTGTGTTTAATAAAGAGTGTATCATTTTCACCCTACACGAAGTTCCGACTCGTGGTTTGGGATATCAGGGAAGGGAGTGTTTTGAGCTCCTATACATGCCTTGGAAGAGCACTGGAAGCCTTGCTGGAAAAGGGGACCATTGGGTGAGACGCACTGCCCCTCATGAGGAAATCCAGGCGGAACGGTTCCGCCACATCCTGCGCTCCCGCAATGTCCCCCCTGCAGTGTCCCCTGTAATGTCCTCCGGCGGATGCCGGCATCCGTCTTCTGGGTTCCGTTCCCTGCGACGTCGGGACGTACGGGGGACGGAACGGCGGGAAATTTGAAAATGACAAAAAGTGACATTCACTAAAATCACTAAAATCTCATAATATAACATTCCTGTATCAAACCATTTCACATACATTTTGTCCCGAGTTCTTTGTCCGGCGCCCTGCCTGCATTTTTACTGTTCTTTCTGCCTGGACACTGAGAAACGTCCATGGCGTCCAAAAAGCGTCCCTTTAGGTCAGACGCGGTTTTAGACCGGCTAGAGAACAGCGATAGTAAATCAGAACCACTTGCAGAATTGAGTGATAATGATTTGTGGGGGAAATTCCTCATCAGACACTGAAAATGATTCTGCGACTGAGCTCAGCGATGGGCCAACTTGGCGCTATATTTCACATTTCAGTGTTTTTGGTTTGATTATATTTAGAGATGAGCGAATTATTCAAAAATTTGATTCGGCTGATTCGCCGAATTTCAGGAAGAAATTTGATTCGATGCGAATTTATTCGCTACGAAGTTAACTTATAAAAAGGGTTTCTAGGCTTCAGAGAGCCTTTAAATTAGTGCAGAACACTGTACCTTTAATTTAAATGCCCTTGGAGATGAGGAAGGAGAAGGAGAAGGATGAGAGAAGGAGAAGGAGAAGGAGAGAAGAAGGAGAAGGAGAAGGATGAGAGAAGAGAAGGATGAGAAGAGGAGAAGAAGGAGAAGGATGAGAAGAAGAGAAGGAGAAGGAGAAGGAGAGAAGAAGGAGAGAAGAGAAGGATGAGAAGATGGAGAAGGAGATGAGGATGAGAAGAAGGAGAAAGAGAAGATGAGAAGAAGGAGAAGGATGAGAGAAGGGAGAAGGAGAAGAGAGAAGGAGAAGGATGAGAGAGAAGAGAAGGATGAGAAGATGGAGAAGGAGAAGGAGAAGAGAAGAAGGAGAAGGAGAAGAGAGATGAGAAGAAGAGAAGAGGAGAGAAGAAGAGAAGAAGGAGAAGGAATGAGAAGAAGGAGAAGGATGATGAGAAGGAGAAGGAGAAGGATGAGAAGAAGGAGAAGGAGAGAAGAAGAAGATGAGAAGGAGAGAGGATGAGAAGAAGGATGAGAAGAAGGAGAAGAGAAGAAGAAGGATGAGAAGAAGGAGAAGGATGAGAAGAAGAAGGATGAGAAGAAGAAGAAGATGAGAAGAAGGAGAAGGATGAGAGAAGAAGGATGAGAAAGGAGAAGAGAGAAGATGAGAAGATGAGAAGAAGGAGAAGGATGAGAAGGAGAAGGAGAAGGAGAAGG